ACCATATGAATATGAATCACTTTTTTTTCTCCTTCCCTACACATTTTTTAGTGTCTGAACAGTGCGCTGAAGGCTGAAGGGTTTGAGTCCTCCCTGAAACTTCCTGACAAGGTGTTGACCTTTGTGAGGGACCACCCCCTGATGGAGAACAGTGTTACTGCAGCACCCTTACTGGTGCGGAAAGGGATGAGATACACCAAGCTGGCTGTAACACAGAAGGGTGGCGCAGAGGAGATGACGAGAGCAGTGCTCCACCTTGGAACTGGTGAGGAGAGAGGGAGGCAGGGATAAGAAGATAGGACAGAATAAAGGACAGAAAATATAAAGAGATAAATTCAAACTGGCTGTCACAACTAATGCAGATGAAAGTTATCAAAGCTGAACTGAGATAGCAAAACAATATAATCTTGATTTAATTTTTTTTTTTTAAATAATGGACACAACATGTTAATACTTTGGAAATCAATCAGAATTTTATGACAATAAATAAACTGAATTAAATGTTGTAAATAAAACAAAAATAATTGAGCTGTGTTTGTTTGTGTTGCAGACCGTGGGGAGCTCCACAGGGTGGCAGTAGTGGGCCAGAACGCCACCTTACTGCAGGAGATTCCTCTGTTCACCGCACAAGAGCCTGTCAACAATATACTTCTGCACAAGGTATTTGCACATTTATTTACACTCATACTGCACAACCAAACATACATGCATATACTAATCTGCAGCGCCTAAAAATATGTTATATTGCTCAGTGGTTCTGTAATGGTTCCCCGTGTCTCCAGGGCCGGGCTCTGGTGGGCAGCCCTCTGTCTCTGGCTCGTGTCCAGGCTGAAGGCTGCGCTCTGTATCCCAGCTGTGAGGTGTGTGCCAAAGCCAGAGGACTAGGTTGTGTGTGGTTGGAGGGAGCCTGCAGGCCAACAACAGACGAGTGAGTACTACAGGAACATCACAATGAACTGGAAGACTTCCAAAAATGAAAAGCTGAGGCAGGCAGCAGCAGCATTGGGGAGGAATATGGTTTGGTTATGTGTAAAATCTGACCCATTTTTCTTTACAGTAGATTCATTAACAATTTTATGTATATTGTTTTAAACCTTTAAAGGAAAAAAAATCTCTTTATGCCTTAAAGTTCTAGAATAACCAGCAGCAAAAAAGCAGAGTCAACTTACGTCAAATGTTAACGTGGAAGCGCTGTATTAAATATGCCTTGAGCTGGATGGGATTACAATGTGCTGTGATAACTTCTGTGTGTTTTTAGCCACGGCCCAAATTTTAAAGCTGTTTCAACAGACCTCTGGGAACGGTTGAGCTAATAGGCAGAAAATAGTTGCTAAAGTTAGCCAACTGTAGTGTGTGACGTAATCCTGACAGCAATATATCTACATGCACGTTTACTCACCTGACCAAAAGCAAGACAGCAGTTGCTTCAGTTGTGGACGGAACTGTAAACCAAATATTTACAATCCACTAGACCAGTGGCTCCCAACTGGTCTAGCCACAGGGTCCGGATTTCTCCTTAGTCATTAGTTCAAGGAAATGAAATGATTAATTATCTGTTGACTGATTAGAACAGATATTTAGAAAAGCAGCCACCAAGGAAGGTAGTTTCACTACTAAAACCTGATGCAGAGGTGTGACTCCTTTTTGTGTGTACCCAGGCCTGGTCCAGGGGATATGATAGATGATGCCTTGAGAAAGTGTGATATAGGGGAGGGTAAGTGTATCTTATTTTTATACGTTATATAATATGAACATATTGTCTCTCTGTTTATTCTCTTTATGTCTGTTTCTCTGTCATCAAACTGCTTATTGTCCCCCCCAGGGCGCTGCAACCCATCCACGAGGGAGCTGCGAGTTTCCAAGGGATTGCACCTCCTGTTGCCATGTGTCCAGCTGTCTCCCCGGCCCTGTAGCTGGGAGCATCCTCTCCACAGACAAACCAGGCAGCGCCACTCTGACCTGGAGGTGACTGTCACAGAGGACAGCCTGGGGAAATATATCTGCACATGCCAGGTACACAGGCAAAACATGCAGAAACAAATTTACCCTATGTCCTGGTGTTATGAAGTTATTAGAAATGATTTTCATGGCAGTTAGTGTGTTAGCTGCAACCATTTTATCAGTTGCCTATATGAAAATGTTAGACACTAAATGCCAAGTCTTTTCCCACTAATTCACACAACTGTCATGCTGTTCTTCTCCAGGAGGCGGGGCCAGGTATCAGAGAGCCCACCCCCTGCCGCAGAGCAGCCTATCATCTGACACTAGAAGACCCAAGTGTTGAAGGAACGGTGGCGACAGCAGGAGGTCGTCACGTCCTGGCCATCTACATCCTTTTCTTCGTCTTGGGTTTAGCATTGGGCGTACTTCTCCTCTACTTTGTGAAGCATCGACGCGGCATTGCCCGCCAGGGTCACCACCTGCCAGATAATTCCCTGTCATCCGAGAAAGGGCGGGACTTGCTGGGCTCCTCAGCCACGCCACAGAGTCCTAGCAGTGCCAGCCTGATGTCCGAGGGATTCAGATTGACAGAAAAACGTAACGGGACGGCAACCACTAACACGACTACAACGCTCCTTAGCAACCAGGGTAATGGTGGTCACCATGGCAACAACTACAGTGGCACCCTGGTCCACAGCAACCCCAGCAATGGCCATGGGAATGTCCTGTACGGCAACAACACAAGTGGCAGCGGGCTGAAGTTCACCTCTGAAATTTTAGCTGCAGACTTGCTGGATGGAAGGACGGGGGAGAGGGTGAGGGTGAGGCCTGAGGGGGTAGAGAGGGAGTCAGGGGAGGGGGACGAGGTGGATGAGGGGCTGGGGGACGGGTTGGGGGATGGAATAAAAGGACTGGAGGAGGAGTTGGCCAGCTTTCCCATGTTTAAATCACCAGCACCACTGGCTAAGTGTGAAGAAAGTTCAATATGAAGAGGTGATATAAATATACTATTGATTGCACCATTTTGCATCCTCCAAAAAACTGAATAATACCAGGAGGGATACAAAATGACTACTGCCAGATGCCTTTGAATGGGAGCCGTGGCATGAAGAGAGACTACAGAGATATTTGAGAAATATATGATAAGTTTATGTCTAAGCATGTGAGAGAGAAAACATGTTACAGCGTTGTGAGTCACTCAGGACAAGAGCCACAGCTAAATAAATGTGTCAGATGTAATATAAATGTAAATATAAGCAGTCTGAACTTTAGATTGTGGACACGCAGCCGAGTGTGATATTGCGCAATTTAAATGTTAAAAAAAATCAAAGATGAAATGCCTACATGTGTAGACATTGAAAAGCCATATTGTCTTTCTCCTTAACTTCTGTTGTTGTTTGCGCTCTCATTCTCTTCTCCTGATGGCACTGCAAAAGTAAAGTGCACTTTGAATCTCTCAGCACCTCTCTCTCGACTTCTATCCCTCTCTCTGACACACCACTCAGATCCCAGACCTTGACGGGTCCAAAGGCACCAAAGGACTGCTGAGCCATAGAGACTGCACCGGTCCTGGGCTTCAAACAGAGACATGTCACTGTCAGAGACTAAAGTACCATAAAGAGAGTCCCTCAGATGGGCTACAGTGACTGTGACGGGGCTGTCCCTGCCTACACTGCCGCAGAGGTCAAGGGGATGATCTGTGTCAGTGTGGAAAGCTCAAGATGCACAGCAGACGCAAGTAACTGACAGCTGCTCAGATCTGACACTGTTCACCTTCACAGTTACTGAAACAAAAGGCAAATGATTTTCAAAAGGATGTGAAATTCATTTTGCACAGAATGGACCTTACCAGACACAATGCCACCATCACCTCGTTTTGTGAGTGTGGATTTCAACTTTAAAAATGTATTGTTTTTGTCATGTTGTTTTGTAATAAATCTGAAAAAACTTTGCTGTTAGCTTGGCATCACTGTTCCCACACTGTCTGGTAAAAATCTGGTTGTGAGAAAGATTTGAATCAAGGGGTTGCGTGTGCTTCTCCTACCTGCCCAGAAGTGGACCAAACCTGTAAGTGAATTCTGCAAATACACTGATTATACCTTAAGAATCCATTTTGTCCACGTGTGTAACTAAACAGCTGTGACAGGAATAGCTACATAGAATACACTCTGTTGCCAAAATGAGATTAGATGTCAAGATTAAAACCTACCTGTGTGGTAAATATGATGAAAACAGCTAGCCTGGTTACCAACTTCTCTCAAACAAAAAGATGTTGTAGTTGTTTTATTTTGTTTTTTCCCATTAACAGACTCAATGCTAAGCTAATTTTCAAATAAAAAAATGTATGTCAAAGTCTTAATATAGATTTAATTTGTTTTAGAAATTTTCAGATTTTGTCCATAAATCCATGTGTCCCATCCTTGTGAACTCGATATCTCAAGAACACCTTTAGGAAATTTCTTCAAATTTGGCACAATCATCCACTTGGACTCAACATTGAAATATTTAGATTTTGGTGGTCAAAGGTCACTAACTAAGGACAGACTCAAGAATTCATACACTGATTTTGACAAAATTTCACACATTTCTTTTTTCTAATACAATAAAATGATGACTTGTGTCATTTTATATCCAAAAGGTCAAAGGTCAACCTCACTGGAACATCAAAATGTTCTACAAAAATACGTTTCTGGCCATGACTCAACGTCATATCTCAGGAACAGAAGAGGTTACATGTGGTTAGATACTGAATTAGTGACACTCATCTTGTGCGCCCATCTTGAAACTGATGTAAGCTGTAAGTGCAACTGATCTGGCACACAGAGGCATACAACCATAAAATGGGATTCTAGTTCACTCAGCACTCAGAATATTTCGGACCTCACTCCATGCAGCTGATGTAAACCAACTGGAAACAACACTCACATTTATTAAGGTTTAAATGTTCAACCAGAGGCCTCTGATTCATGTTTTGAAGTGCAACTTGGATTACTGTCTTTTCGGAATGAGGAAGAGCATTTTTTATCTCACACCAAATATTTGATTAGTGAAGTGCTCCTTTTGCCCTCCGACTGATGTGTTAAGAAGTTGATGAATGGTCAAAAGTGTGTTCTCCTTGCTCCAGTCACTTAAAGGGAAGACAAAGGAGCAATCAATTTCTCTAAGAGCTGATCGTCAGCCTCATCTTCAATTGTCCTTGAAGTCGTCTTTCTATCTGAGGTAAAATTATAATGGTGAGTGGGATGAAAAACGAAAATATTTTACTTTTTGTGCAATCCTGCTGAATACTGCAGCTTTTTGCATCTTGTGTGAGCGTATGGTGAGAGAGAGTATGTGTCTGCATACGTTTACTCGAATACTTGTAAATAATAAAAGCCACCTAGCTCCTGCCTGCACATTTCAAAGTGAAATTTATTTACTACATGTAACACAATAAGAAAGTGCATTTAATCATAGAACTTTGACCTTTGACAGTGTGGAAACATGCACGTATTGAAACCCTCTTGTGTGAAATAAAAAAAAATAGAAATATTCATATGATACTTTACACCAACTATTTTCACAAACAAGTGAAGTTCATCACCCTATCAGTGGGGGGAAAAGTGAGCTGTATCTCAGTGCATACATGCCTGTTTTTGGGAAAGGCAATTCGTAAAATATTGGTCATTTCCAATATTGTATGGGGAAGACTGGAGTCCAAATCATGCCGTCATCTCAACCATCAAGCAGTTCAAAAGGCTTTCTGTAGCCAAAGAGCCTGAAGTCCATCTCATAGAGCTCGTACAGCTTCCTCCTGGCCTCTAGGGGCACTGTGCTGAACCAGTCCAACACAGAAGCAGAGGAAGTCATGTTTTCATAGGAAGGAGGGAACTTGATGTCATCCTCTAGCTTCAACATCTTCAGCAGCTGTTCAGCGTCCTGCTGGAGAGTCTCCTGATGGCCAACAAAATCATACCTAAGAGGTAAAACAAACCAACCAGCTGAAAAAATTGCACTGTTTTGAATTAATGTTGAATTAATTGGTAGTTTGTGGATGTTAAAGGGGCATTCCAACAATTTTATACATTAAGATCAGATCACTTATCATTAGAAGTACTATTCAGCATGTGAAATAGGTTTGCAATCAGTGTCTCTCTGGCCTGTTGTCTAGTTGCAGTATGGAGAGTCAAGGGTCTTTGGAGCTTAACCTGTTCTTGGGACTTACGGCTCATTTATTCTCCCTTTACATACGAAAACGGATATGTCTATTTCAAACATTGTAAAAGTCACAGCCATCATATTTCCTTGTTTCTTTTATGTTGGCAAGAAAAGGTCAATGGACGGCACAAGAGGGCAGAGTCAAAGTTTCAGACAACAAACGGTGGAAGTCTGTGAGGCTATTATTAACATTGCGACATGTTCATTTTTCTGTTCAGCTTGATGTACACTACACTGCCCCCAAGATTTCCAGAGGTGCTACTCCATTTCATCTGTATCTGGAAATTTTAAGAAGACATGCACAAATAGGGATGAAATAAATGCATGTACTGACAGAAGGCTCCATCAGTGTCCGTAGCCTATCTAACATTGAGCGTAAAAAGCTTTAGGTGGAATCCAAATGGCAACCCTCTGGACTTGTGGACTGGGCCCTTGCAGACGTCAGTCGTTCATACTGTGACATGTTGACTGCCATTACATCAAGTCTGTGAGTGTGCAAGACTGCAAGGCTGTAAAGTCCCTGATGGACAGGCCTTAAGTTTGTTTCCATCATTACTGATAAAATGTTTGCGTGTTTGCAAAGAAGGACCAGACTATGACTAAATAAATTGAATATTACTTATATTGGAAGACTTTCTTTTTTTTTTTTGCAATATTTCTTTGCCTATATATTTGGCAGTACACTGCACAACATTAATAGGGTAGGCTGAAAATACATTTTGATAAAAACTACAATTTTCACGTCTGTATTGCAATGAATTGTGGGCAATTAAATCTGTGAAATTTGGTGATGTTTGCACCCAAGTGAACTCTCTGAAAGTCTGCAGAAAGTCAGGTTGAGGCCCCTTGTGGACTGGATGAATTGTAGATTTGAGCAGTCCTCAGTACTTGCAGACTTCCTGTTAACGAGCCTGCAAAGTCCGCTAGTTGAGAAAGTGCAGTAAAGCCAGGACATTTGGATTGAGCCTAAAAATCAGGATGTTCTGGCCTCAGCTGCAGCAACTGTGAACATTAGTTCTTGAAACCGTCTCTCATAATTGCCCTAACTTTGTGAAACACACTCGCTCACTGGAGTACATACTGAAAATACTACAGGGAAAGTCACATTATGGACAGAAAAACACTAAGGCTGAGCTAAATTAGTTTTCGATTTTGAAAGTCAGACATTAAAACAAATAATAATTTACTGAAGCGGCCTTACTGTATGAGGCAGGGATGGCACAGACGGTGCATCTGCCTCCAGTGGGGTTCAAAGGGGGCTTCCTTTTCTGTCTGTGGGTCCAGCAGGTACTGAATAAAGTTGTAAAATGATGGGCGTATGCCAGAAGCAAAAGCCTCATCCTCTGTCTCTGGTGGATCAGACTGGTTAGCGTACAGGCGCAGAATGTCCCGACCAAAGTGTTGATAGAAGTACTCATTGTGCCGCTGGAACTTGTTTCGGTAGGCGGAGATGAGACGGACGAATGGGTCCCGGACAAACAGGAACTTGGTGTAGTGCTTCAGCTTCACCTGTAGCCAACAAACAAGTACACACTGCTTTCTGTTTGTAACTTTAGGAGCACATCTGATTTCACTGTATGAACTGACCTTCATCTCTTGTCTTGGGAAACTGTTTAGCTGAGTGAACGTTTTGGGGAGGTGGACCATGTCACCAGCTATGGACATGGGGTCCTGATAGGGCGCGCTCATGTTAAGGACAAACATAACCCACTTCCAGTTGGTGCAAGCCACCTGTAGATAAGAACAAGACTACGAGTCTGCAGCCTATAGAGGCAGTGAAAATAATAAGTGATGAATAATGTTGCTGATGTGCAGATTAGTGATTTGGAAAATTTGCTCTGAAACTGAAGTTCCTGGGTGTGTTCATGTTAGTATCACCTTGGGAATGTAACAGTAGATGATGCCGTGATTGTCATCCACAATGAAGTGCTTCAGCTCATTGTCACTCAAATCTTCTAAACTCTGCCTCCCCTCAGGAAAGACCCCTTCGTCACCATCACACATTTCTCTTAGCAGCTGCTTTCTCTGTTCCTGCAGCCAACGGATTCTCTCCGCTGTGACAGAAGAGTAGGAATATATGTTGTAACTGTCTAAAATGATCACAGCTGAATTCATTTTGGTATTGGTGAAAGCTAAATGCCAAACATTTGCCTTTCTCAAAGTCCCACTTTGTTAGAGAAATATCAGGTTAAATGTGAGCCACAATAATCCAGAAGTAATCAGAGGAGAGGTCACAGCTCCACCATCTACTAATCCATCAACTAACTCCCCATTCAGTTCACAGGCAGCAGAGCACAAGTACAAACAAAGCATTAACCAGGAGCAGGATACACAGCAGGAAGAGTAAGAAATTCACAATCACGCATGCACACACACACATGCTGTACCTCTCTTATCTTGTGACATGTCCCATTGGTAAAAGCAGAACACGCTGAGAAACATGAATCCAGCTAATTTGAGGAGCAGCAAGAATCCTCTGTATGCTGCCATGGTGGCTGCGGTTGTCACTGAACCAGAAACGATAAAAGAACACTGAATTTATGGAATTCTAAGAAGTGAGTGATTAAAGGAAATCTCCACCTGCAAAATGATCTTTTGTATATCAGTTACTCGATCCCATGTTACTTTGAATTCGTAAAGAAAACTTGTTTTTTCTTGTATGCCTCCACAGTGAACCTAAGATTTTAGGGAAAATGCATGTGTTTGGGAAGTACTGATCATACAACTGGATAAATGAGACTTAAATTATACTGCATGGGTTGTATAAAGGTTTGTAAATGGATGTTTTGTTATAGTTTTGCACTTGTTAAACTTGGACCCCCGTGACTTGATCAAACATTTTCTCAGTTTAGGGATTCTTCGCTCATCGTTGAGGCATGCAAGAAAAACAGAGTTTTCCTTGTGAATTCAACGTAACGCCAGGTGAGTAACTGATATACAAATATTTATTTTGTGGTTGAAGTATTTCTTTAAGGAAAAAAGTGATTATCTCATATATTTTCTTAATTGAATACTGTATGAATTCCAGTCACAAAAGCTACACATTCATAGTGTAATGCAAGACATATTGGATGATGAAGTTTTTGATAACACTTTAACTGAGTATGATTCCAAAATTCACAATTACATTGAAGCTGAAGTCACATACATTTGTTTCAGTGTTCTACACATAATAGACCAAACACAAATTGATTCTACTATGATGCAGCAACCTAGAAATATCACACATAATGGATGATCACATCACTCACCTTGCTGTGAAGTTCTCTGACAATCGCGGAGGAAATCACTAATTAATACCTCAGCCTACAAAATCGTGTCACAATCTTTACTCCACAAGTGCACTGTGATGGCATTGAGGAGACCAGAGTGAACTGTAAAGCAGAAGATAAACAACCATATGAATGGGCAGTTGACAACAGCCAATATTGACTCTGCAACATTGTCCTCCAAGCCATACAATTCAGCCCCTCTTCCTTGCTTATTTAATGATTTCATTAGCTTGTTTTTTTCCAGACATGAATAAGGGGATGTCAGTGGTCTCTTCACTACATAAACAGTGCTGGGCAAGTTACTCTCAAAATGTACTATATTACATATAACTAGTTGGCTTCATTTGAAAGTAGTAAGTTACTTTACAATATTACTCTCTGTGTAGAACAACTTTTCCCGTTGTGAAGGATGACCCTAGCAGCTGAGATAAAGCCTGTTAGGGGTAAAGCAAATGCTGGTTAGGAGATCTTGGGTAGACATGATCTATCCCCCAAGAGGCAAAGTTGAACTGATTCAGGAACAGGCACACCTAGCCACTCTTGTATTGTTTTGATTATCTCTCGTCAGAAAGGTAGAACTAGAGGACAGGCCCACATTGCTTGGATAAAGGTGCCTTCCTGCCTTTTACATTCCCAGCATAGATTATTTTCTAGCAAACCCATTTTATGAAGACAGACTGGTGTAAGATAGTATACAATATAATATCATTGAAGTATCTTATAACATTTTCACCGAGCTTCTCATGTAAACCAGCCTGCACCGGAGATGATCCTTGTCCAGGAATCCTTATTAATGTTCAAATTTAAATCCCTCTGCCAGATAAATCTGAGGTTAGACTGAAATATTTTGACGCATGAAGCCCTAAGAAGCAAGGTGAAAATAAAATATTTTGTAAGCAATGCTGTCCAAAAGAGAAGTTTATCTGCTATGTACAAGATATTATCTCCTATATATAAGATATTATCTCTCCTATGTAGGAGATACATCTTGTATGTAGGAGATAATGTATCTCCTAAGAGGTCTCCTAACAGGTAAAGTTATTGCCTGCAATTTTTTTTATACCTTGCCTCTTGGGGCTCTGTAACCATGGGATGGATAGTTCTTTGTCCCCAGATGATGAACCATACTGACTTTGGTGTCCTCTGACTTTTCCTGAAGCCCCTTGAGGCAAATTTTTGATTTGTGGTATTAGGCTACATAAATACAATTGACTTGACTTGACGTCTTCTGTATCTAAGTAACTGCAGCTGTCAAAAAATTGCAGCTGCTACTCCTGTAGCAAATGTGTATCAGCATTTTCGCTCACCTCCCAGTAAGGTGGTCTGTAGTGGTGGGGAGTGAGGCGAAGGACACACTGTGATTCAACGCTCTAGATAACATTAGTTACATAAACATGAACATGAAGCCACAGCTGTGAGCCTTTGGTTTCCGTTAGCAGAAGGCTAAACTATTATCAACATTTTCTCTTGATCTCTGAATATTATTATATTATAATATTATTATTACAATATTGACACATGTTTTATTTTGTTTATTGTCAGACTCTTTTTTTAGACTCTATTTCTGACAAGCCGATCTTCCTGTCATGGGTTGCTTTGCAGTGTAGGCAGTTGTTGCCAATGCTGCAGAGGCAACATTCTCTGCAGGTATCTCTGCCATTGAATCAGGCTTTCACTGAAGGGACACGCACACCAGCATGTGCAGAACAGCCAGCAGGAATGCCCTTTATGTGAAATGACCTGTGATTGGCTGAAGTATCCTGTCACGGCCTGAAAACAGCCAAGAGGAGGTGCAGAAGTCTAGTGCTCTACAGTACAATATGTTTAAAATGAATTATTGGGATATCGGGATTTCTGGCCAGTGCTGTCAAAATGAACTTCCTATAGCACTGCTTTAATAGGCAGAGATCTTAAATACAATTCAATCAATCAACCTCCTGTCTTGTGTGACTTCAACCATGGAAGCAGCTGTGACAAACACATGAGAATGTGATTAGCAATGCAAAATGGTGAAAGGAAGTCAGTAACAGTACAGGAAACTGAATTTACATTCACTGTTTTTGACTAAATTAAATGGGCACCCACCATTTATTTGAATGTATGGCGCCATGTTGCTGATGTTGATCAGATCTGCTTGGTCAAACTCTCAGTGTCCAGAGTGTTACGTTTTTGGAATGTATACTTACTAAGTTCACAGGCTTTTACTCTCCAGTAGCTTAAATCATACCATCACTGAGTTTTTGGCTTTTGCTGTTTTCAGGAAACTGCATTCTTTACTATGAACACTAGGGGTCAGTATGTGATTATAACAAAAGTGAACCTTCTTACACCTTTAAAGAGGCTTGACAAAATGAAATGGGCACCCACCATTTCTTTTTTGTTAAAAAAAAAAACAAGAACATTTAACTCTCAGAGTTTCAGCTTTTAGAATGATTCCAGTAAACCAAACACCCACAACTGCAAAGACTGTCAGCTCCTGTCCTCTTACCTTATGTTGTAGTTAACTCTTTAGGTTGTAGTTGATCTCTTGTCTGCGGGTCTGTCTTTTGTCCAAGACTATAATACTTTTGGCTCAAAAGTAGATTTGTTTAAATGCTTTAACAGATCAAACTTAAACCTTTTTTTTGCATAACAACGAGGCTGCAACTAGAACTCCTCCTTCCTCTATAAGAGCAGGTTTAGCCCCAGTGTGTCTGCTGCTTCTATGAATACCTTTTGTTGTATAGTTGAACATGACATTATGAAAACTACTTTTCAATCACTCCATGTCTCTCAGAGCTTATCTAGCAAAGAAGGGACAGCATTGACAGAGCACATGAATTCCAGAGTTGTGGTAACTAAACCTGCTGTGAAGGGAGGAACCATTTGTGTCAAGATGCAGACAAATATAAAGCTGAAATCCTCTCCCAGCAATCTGATGAAAAATTCTGCAAGAAACTGAAGTCTGACCTGAATGACTCGCTCCACAAAACTGTGCTTTCCTACTTAGAAGATGCTTAACATAAGGATTGGATCTCCACATCTGAATTTGACAATTACAGCCAACATTCTGTTCAACCTGAATTTTATAGCCTTCCTAAAATACACAAGTCACTAGTGAACCCACCAGGTCATGTCATGGCGACTCAGACGGACTCTTGTTGTCTCCCTTGTCGGAATTGATAGACTTTTATATAAAACCTTTTGTAGCGACTTAATATTACAGACTTTATAAATAAGATCTCTAATGATGATGATGATGATGACTTCAATCTTCAGGCTTTCGCACGAGTAAGAGTTCTATCCGTGCCCCAAATTATGCAAATCTTTACACAGATTTCTTTGAGAAGGCTGTAATTTTGCAATCCAGACAGAACAGCAACTTGAATTTAACATTGAAATGGTACTGTTATATTGATGACATTATGATGACATTTTCTGTATTTACCAGGGCAACACTGATGAGTTAAATGCTTTCCTTACACATAGTCTTTTAACTAACCCATCCTCTGCCTTATTCTTTCACTTCATGAGAAACTGGCACTTGTCAGTTGTTCTACTTGTTCTATATGTTGATAGTTTCACTTTCTTGTATACTGTCTGTCCTCTCACGAGCTGGTTGTTCCCCAGAATTCTTGATGTCAGTAAACNAACAGAGAGGCCAACATACCAGCCTGCTTTTGTCTTAAAATATTTGTAGTAGAACTCAGGCTTCATGTTTTTGGAGTGTAAAGGAAGAAGGCTTCAAAATCAATTATTCCCATGTACTAAATGTATTTTTGTAGCCCACCTATGATGAATTTCATGTGCAATATTTGAATTTGATCATTTCTTAACATTCCAGGAACACTTTCCCAAAAGTATTGAATATTTTAATAATCACCAAGTAATATATGTCAGAATTTAGAATGAGCATTGTAGTTGTACTACATTTCTGTCATTGCAAAGAAACTGGGAAAATAAAGCACAAAACAACAAAACAAAAACAAAATCCTAATTTATTTGTATCCTAATTTATGTCAAAAGGTTAAAAGTTATTTAATTTAATCAAAATGAAGTTGCACAATAACAAAGAGAAACATAACGCAACGCAACATCAGAGATAGAGGTCCGGTGGCAGATGTGAACAAAGAAAGAGTGAAACAAACAAGTTGTCTTTTGTGTTATTTAATAAAGTGATAAAACAGAATAATAAGAGTTACAACAGAGTTAATCTTATCTCAGCTGAAAGTTTAGACCTCCGACACCTGGAGTGTCCTTCGTATGTGTTACAAAGAACTACAGATGCAGTCGCATAATGAAGATAAAACTGGGAAGAGGGAGACTACGGAGGCCTTCGGCTTACTGATAACTTTTGTGAGAGCAGGAATAAAGCAAGCCTCTCATACACAGATAAAATGTGTTCAAGTACTGTGGTGGACATTTTAAAATGTGAAATCTGAAAGAAAAAATTTGAGACACCAGAGATGTCTTTCAGTTGTTTATTGCTTTGTGCAGAGGGTCAGACAATCATACAGAGTGACATACAGTCTGCAGAGTGTTTCAACAGAGGCACATTTATAAGAAAGTCAGTTAGAAACTAAATAAATGAGGGTATGCAGTTGCAAGGATGGCAGCCAGCTGGAACCGGTTCTGTATGTTTTTGGATTACATGAGAACAGTCATGTAGGCAGTAAATGGAGTATTCCACTACAGAGCACAGGTTACATAAAGTTAAAGGTTATACAGTAGTTTTCCATGACAGTACACAGTGAAGTGAAAACTTTCACACAAAAGGAAAGCAGAATACTCTCTAAACAACAGGATATTACATGTCCATATATGGTAATGATAAATTTGTCTCTACAATAGGCACTGATTGACATGGAAGTTACAGTTCAGCATGATATGTCTCCAGGGCTTTGATTATTTTCCCCATAGTTCTCAGTTCCTGTTCAGTTTTCTCTATTTTTGCATCCACCTTCTTATTCTGCTCATCTACAAAGATCTTGAGGTTCTCCATCTTTCTCTCCAGTGTCAGAAAGTCTTCAGATTCTTCTCCCTTTTCCTTCAGATATGTCATCACTGAGTAAATGTCCCTCATATTTTCACTCACAGTCTCTAAAAAGATGTCTTTTTGTGCCTAATGGGGAAAAACAAAACCACTTCATGACATGGCAACAACACAGTGTGCTATGTTGTGTCCACCGTGGTACATGAATTCACTTGTGACTGAAATACAGCTCTCTCACCCTGACAGAATATTCTACCACTGAAGTTACTCCAATGCAGATTTATGTGAGTATTTAAAAAACATTGAAACTGACGGACTCACCTTCAATTCGTCCAGTTTCTGTTGAATTATCTGATTGCTCTTCTTAATATCCGCCTGCAAATCCAGCATGAGAATCAACATGCAGTTACATATGAGATCATAAACAACGCTAATATAGCACACATTAGCGCAGAGGATTGCAGATTAAAAAAAGAAAATTTCAACAGTAAATTTTCCTGTGATGACTCACAATGGCTGTGTACTTACAAATAAATGTTAAAAATGTCAGTAGAGACAATGTAGGACAACCACCGCACCACACAACTTAATTTTGGCAAGGTGCCGAAAACATCAATAAGTCCAAACTGGCCAAAAAGATTTCCGCACACTTACATTACATAGATGAAAGTGTGTGGAAATCTTTTATACCAAATGATTCTACCAATTGTCAACCAAAGGTTAAGCAACAAGTTATTCACCAATTTGTACATGTCGATCAGTGAACTTGCGAGGCAAACCAGACACATCAGAGTGAAGAGGAAGTACAGGCCACCAGCCACACCTCTGCTTCTTGGCACGGCTGCTGCTGCCATCGCTGTTCTAAATAATAATTATACAGCATAAAGGGTCAATGAAAAAGTAAAAAAAGAAAATTTTTAAATTGTAATATTTAAATGTTTATAGCATAAACCATTTGATGGTGAGTTTCTGATCTTACCTGTGATTTAGATTGAAGGAAAGCGGCTGTAAAAAATGATGAGAAGAAACCACACCACCTCTTATATACTCCTGGGACCACCTCCCCCACTGTACATCTCAACTGTGTGTGTGCGTGTGTGTGTGTGTGTGACTCAGAGGGACAGATCAGGGTACATTAGCACAGTTACACAATGCTCAACTACTATCAGCAGGATGCTACTAAACACAAGATATCAGGCATATTTAATGTCAACATTGATTATAGGGCAGAACAAAACTTCATAAATGTGAGACTAAAATGTTTCTTTTTATTTTTTTTTTAGTTATTTTTTTGGGCATTTTTAGCCTTTAATGGATAGGACAGACAAGTGTGAAGGGGGGAGAGAGAGAGGGAGCGACATACAGCAAAGGGCCACAGGCTGGAGTCAAACCCGAGCCGCTGTGGCAACAGCCCTGTACATGGGGCGCCTGCTCTATCCACTAAGCCACCAACGCCCCGACTAAAACGTTTCTTAACACTATTCCGCTGAGCTCAGACTTAATTCGCTTATCAACAACTGTTCAGCTATCATCAGTGTTTATTGTTTGGTGTTGACTGGAGAGTTTTTTTCCTGTCGCAGAACACGTTGAGGTTCGTGCTGCCTTTCAACACGTAAATTGAGAGCTAGTATTTAGCGTAACAGAAATCTAGTAACCTTAAGTTGTACTTAAATTGAATCTTGGCATGTTTCATAGGGGGCCATAGCGTTAATAGTGACATACACCTTTATGACAAGTACTCCTCTTTCAAAATGTCTTAATTGACTGTGCCATCATGATGTGAAAAAAAACCCGAATTCTTTCTAGGGGATTTCCAGCAAAGGGTAAATGGGGTTAGGTGTTAACCTACTTAAGAAACATTCACATATTCATTGATCTGTAACTGTGGTGTGAAAAACACTGATGATTCCTTTCCAGTAGGTCTGTCTCCTGTACAAATGCTGTGTGACTCTGTGTGGGACATGATCCTCCTAAATGCATACATGAGAGAAAAGACAAGTTTGTTTGATGTTCCTATTTCTATTCAGATTTTGTTCAGATGTCCACCATGTGTGTCTCTAGCTTCACTTCCACAGAACTAGTATTTAGCAGTTTAAAACCACAGGAATATAATGTAATCCGTTAGTGTTGGCACACACTGTGAGACACACAGGAAACACCAAGATGAAAAACCCATACAAAACTGTACAGAAATATGTAGAGCATTAAATTACAAATGCCCATGATACATGGATGCCCATAACCTGTGAGAGCATTTCTTTTAACTCAATCTGGAAAAGAAAAAAAAAGTCAAGGCAAATATTGAGTTTAAGTTTTGGAATAAATTTCTTCATCCTTCATCAAACTAGCTGGTTCTGCAGGGTGGACACCCAGGTCCAAACCATCATCATCCAGTGTATGATTTCCACAGGAGCTGCTGTATTAAAGAATATCCATAGCTGATTCTGAATCAACAGAGAGGCCAACTCACCAGCCTGCTGTTGTCTTTACAGAAGAAATATTTGTATAAGCTTCATGTTTTAGAAATGTTAAGGAAAAAGACATCAACCAGTAATAATTCCCATGTATTGAATTTATTTTTTCAGGCAACCTATGATGAATTTCATGTGCAATATTTCAATTTAATAATTTCTTAACATCCCAGGCATGTTCTTTCAATACTACAGTATATGTTAACAGTCACCAAGTAATATATGTCAGAATTTAGACTGTACTACATTTCTGTCATTGCAAGGAAGCTGTGAAAATAAACCAGCAAAAGGAAACATCATGATTTATTTTTATCCTAATTTATGTCAAACATTTAAAAGGAATTCATGATTTAAAGGCCAGTGTATAAACACCTTAAAATGAAGCTGCACAATCAGACAGAGAAATGTTATAGACACAATAGATGTTATATCAGAGATAGAGACACTGACTGACTGACATGGAAGTTACAATTCAGCTTGATGCTCCTCAAGGGCTTTGATCAGGTTATTCATTTTTCCCAGTTCCTTTTCAGTTTTCTCTATTCCTACATCTGTCTCCCTATTTATCCCATCTGCAAGGGTCTTGGTTTTCTCCATGAAGCTCTTGATGTTTTCCATGTATTCCACTAGTGGCAGAGAGTCATCAGGTGAGTCTCCTGAGGTTTTCCTTAGAAATGCCATCAGTGGGTCCATGAGGCCCATAGATCCATCCATGAGCTCTGAAGCGGCATGCCTTTGTGCCTTAAAGGGGAAAATCAAATAATTTCATCACATGGCAACGACTCAGTTTGCTATGTTCTGTTCACTTCAGTACAATTTTTGTGAGCGTGTGAGCAACATGTAAACTGACTGACTGACTCACCTTGATTATGTCCAGTTCTTGTTGTGTTTCATGAAGGTTTTTCTTCATCTCTTCCTGAATATTCAGCATGAGAATTAACATTCAGTTACATATGGGGATATGAACAGCACTAATATAGAGCACATTAGTACAGACGACTGCAAATTTGAAAAATAAGAACATTGTCACAGTAAATTTGCTTATGATGACTCATTATAGTTGTTCACTTGCAAATTAATTCGATATTGTTGTCAATGGCAAAGGGAGGTTAAGCAACAATTTATTCACCAGTTTGTCCTTGTCGATCAGTGAACTTGCGAGGCAAACCAGACACATCAGAGTGAAGAGGAAGAACAGGCCACCAGCCACTCCTCTGCTTCTTGGCACGGCTGCAGCTGCCATCACTGATCTAAATAATAATTATACAACATAAAAATTAAATGAAGAATTAAACACAATTTTAAATGTGTATCAATGTAATATTTTAAGTCTACAGCAAGCAGAAAAGTCTACAGCATAAACCACAGTGAGTTAAAGTTTCTGATCTTACCTGTGATGTAGATTAAAGGAGAGCTGCTGTAAAAATGATGAGATGACACCACAACATGCCTTCTATACTCCTGGTGTCACCTCGCCCACTGCACATCTCAACTCTGTGTGTGTGTGTGTGTGTGTGTGTGTACATACAGGCTGGCCTTGCCCCCACGAATTAGTATCTCTGCTCCTTCACTGTAGTTTCATTTTCACAGAAATAGTATTTGGGAGTTTCACGTCATAGGAATATCTCAACATTTGTTAGTTTAGGTGGATACTGTACTATGAGACACAAAACAAACAACAACTGCCAAGACAACAAACCAGCACAAAACTATACAAAACTATGTTGTCCAGTAAATTACCCAACTATAAGTTGAACAGATTTTCATTTATCCCATTGTCAGTGAAGATACTTAATAACAGGAAATGAAGGTCAACTTTTTAAAGTTAAGGGCAATGTGCAATACTTGGGGATGGTGGGGTGGGGGGTATATATTTTTTTAATTATGTGTTGTCTGTATATGTGGTGGCTGTGTGACGGTGGACGGTCTCTCGCAGGTCTAAAACACATTGTAAAACTGAAACTGATTCACTTCATGAGAAATCGTCAGTTGTTCCCACTTGACCTTTCATATCCTGGTGTGTTTTGCAATTGTACTGAGCGTGTTCGTACATGCAGAAAAAGGTTATTCTTTGTATGTACCTGACATTCCCTCTAAGGTTTTACTTTCACAGAAATAGTATGTGACAGTTTCACTTTATAGGAAAATACAAACATCAGTTGATGTCGATGCCAACTCCTAGACAACAGATCACTGCAAACTGTACAAAATATTTCACACAAACATTGTTACTTTGTGCAACAATAGGAAACTAGAAACATGACAGTGGAAGTGTCATAGTTACAGGACCTCTTCCTGACTGAGCGGGTGGTAACAGGCAACTTTAATAAACAGGGTTTGTATGTAGGCTGGAGAGAGACCAAATTATGATCTGATCTGCCAAGAAGTGGTAGGGCAGAGGCACTGTAGGCGTCCTTGGCATCTCCATAAAACAAATCTAGTGTCTTATTCTCCCTGGTGAGACAGTCCGCATACTGAACAAACCCAGTCAGATGGGAGGAGAGAGTAGTGTTGTTAAAATCCCCCGTTATTGCAATGAATGCAATAGGGTGCTGGGTCTGAATCAAGGATCACGTCTATATGGGTTGTGGTTAGCCTTTGTGTTCCCCTGTCATAGTTTAAAAAAAAAAAAAGTTGCATCTACCTTAATTGATTACTAATTTAATGCACCACCCGGTGAGCACGCTTCTGTAAGTGACCTTGGATGTTGCATCACCAGCAGACACAGGCTGTGTTTAGCTTTGTTTTAAGTTGGTTGTATTAGTGGTTTGTCTTTGTTTTTACATGTTCAGTGAGGATTTTATTTTCTAGGTTTGAGGTTTTTGTTTTTCTCAGTTGCATTCAGTTAATTATGTTTATAGTTTTCTATTTTGTTATATTCTCCTCCTATGTTTGCTCATGCTTGACTTCCTGTCTTTGTTTGTTTTCCCACCTGGTTTCCACCACACC